GCGTACAAGAGTATAACGCCGGCCGACCAGACGTCGAGGGCCGTTGTTTGATAAGTGGAGCGCATCAGGACCTGTTGGAGAGGAGCGTTAGACAGGTGAACCAAGACGGTGATCGAGCACGCCTCTCTTGGGCGTCGGCAGCTTCGCGTACCTCGGGCGCCCGAAATCCTCGGGTTCCAGCCCTCCCTGCTCGCCGGCCATGCCCGCGCGCCTGCAGGAACGCTCTGGCAATGCTCCCACGCTCGCCAGCGGCCGATGTAACGCCAAGGAAGTTACGAACTGCGCCAAAGAACGGTCGGGACAACGAAACAAGACGCGTGAGAAATCCCCTCATACGGCCAACTGCCGTGGTACAAGGGAAAGAGCGAAGAGCAAAGGAGAAGGCCGTACTGTAATTCTGCAAGGAGACATCGGAGCTGTTTTCGGCTTGGAGCACCTTGGACTCGTCCAGTTCGGCCAGCCCGAAGTCTACGAGCAGGAACTCGTTGCGCTCAATCGAGTACAGAAAATTGCTGGGCTGTGATTGCGGCGAGAGGAAGTACAGCAGGATTAAGTACTCATGGGTCGGAGCGGGTGACGGTGAAGTTGTAAGTGGGCTTACCTTGACGTCGCGATGGATGACCGCGTGCCGGTGCATGTGGTGCAGCGCAGTGAAAAGCGAGTAGAGGTAAAGTCGTAGCTGATCGATGGTGAATCGGTTAATGTACTCTTTGAACCTGGGCTCAACAAACACACATGACACGGGGGGTGAGTCACCAACTCGCACTACTGCCATCGTGCGGCCTGCTTACCGGTCATGCTTGAAATAGGGCAAAACGAGAGTTATCTGGTCGGCCTCCCTCAACCCGCCAAGCAAAGGGAGCACGAAGTTGGTTCCTCTGGGAAAGTGGCGCAAGGTCAGCACGTGCGCTGGCGGCGGCGGCGGCGGCGGCGGTGGTGGGAGAATGGGCAGTACCCCAGCAATTTAAGATGTCGTATCTCATTCCTGACGCGTGATGGAGAGGAAGTAGGGTAGAGTCGCTTGAGCGCTACGGCTTGCGTTGGGTTGGTGAGCGGAGCGGCCTTATATACAGTGCTGAATGTCCCTGTTTGCGGCCAAACAGCGAGGAGGGATAGGCCACATGAGTACTAGTTCGCTCTCCGTACGAAAGAAAAGGAAGCGCGTGGGCGATGGGGGGACTCCTACCTTCTCCGATCTTCTTAATTACATGGTAACGGCCCTTGGTCTCGGCAAAATCAAAGGTCGGTTGGGTGGTTTGACTATGTACTAGGGGCGCCGTTCCTCCTGAGCGGTGGCGACCAGGTCAGTTCATCCGAACAGCGCCAGTGGCCACCGGCCTCACGTTCGTGTACCTTGGATCTGCCCAGCAGGAAGAGAGAAGCGAGGGGACGCGGCACACGCCTCGCTGGAGTAGGAGCGGGGAGTAATGCCGGAAGTGGGGGCGCACGGAGCGCTCGTCGAAAGCGACGCCATCGGAGAAGCGTATGTGGATCTGTTCCCCGGACATGAATGCATCGCCCACCCGTCAGCAACCGAGTGGGCAGGTGATGGAAATGAAAGACGGGGTGTCTGTTGCAAGGGTGAGCGACCTGGGAGACACGCCAGGGGTGTAGGCCGTTCCGCTGGTGGCGAGGCTGCTTGCGCCACCTCTGGCGGATCTTCTCCCTTTCCTCTTGGCGCTGCCGTCTCTGTCTTCCATCGCTAGGGAGTCGACCGTCTGCATAGTGGGGGAATGCATTGACATTTCAGGTCGGTTCGTCAGCACTTGGTCGTCGTGTGCACTCCGCAGACCCAGCGGGCTGTGTACCGTGTGTTTCGCAGGCTGCTCGGTCCAAGGATTCCACTGCGCCATTCCCGAGGGCAGCGACGAGGGTGAGCTGCCCGGCATCATAAACTGGAGTTTGCATGAACGTCAGTACTCCAAGCGCCGCACTTTCACGGAACCGAGGAGTGGGCGAACGTCTACGCGTAGGCGTACCGGAGGACACACACTGGGCGCGATGGGATAGCCCGTCTGCTGAGTAGGGGCGTGGAGGATGGGCATGTGGCCGTACTGTGGCGGGTAGGCAAGGGGCTGGGCATAGGGAAGTGGTTGCGCCAGCTGCTGCATCTCCCTTCCCTCCAGGCCGTCCTCCTCTTCCTCCAACGGGCCTGCGTCCCCTCCTAGAAACGCGCTCCCAGAGCAAGTGAGGCTTCATGATGGAGACAGGGGTCACCTTGCATTACCGGTGCATAACTTACCTTCTCGAAAGTGCGAAGGGAAGGTGCTCCCGCCGTAAAGATGTCGGGCGCTGCCAGATGTTGCCGAATGAAAATGGGGTAGCGAGGAGTGGGCTGCCGAAAGGAGAGGTGGATGCATGAGGGGCGGCTGAATGGGCGTCATCTCGGCGTAGCCACCAGTTCGTGGTGTCAGCGAGACCTGTTCCATCTCTGCACTCAGGCCACTGTTGGATTCCACGTCCATCATGCGTCCTCTTTTGTTGTAGCGTCGCATATCGTCGTCGCCCTCATCGTCTCCCAAGTTCCTCAAGATGCTGAGGCCTTGTTCGCCATCTCCATCAAGAAGGGGCGGGCCGCCCAGCACGTCTACAATGTCGTCCGCGCCTCCATTCATGAGAAGGGGCGAAAACGAGCCCTGCTCTCCTCTCAGCGATCCTCCTGATCCTCCACCTCGCGTCATCGCCATCATCATGCCCATATAAGATTCTGCTTCGCCTGAGGTCGTGGTGGACAGGGGGTCGGGCGATGGGCGCTGCTGGCCCACATTGGAGGCAAAGCCTCGTTTGTTCATCAATCCGTCAATTGTGAACTCGCACCACCTCCTGCTCTGTGAGCAATCGGCGATCCTGCCTGGTAGCTGATTACTCTTGATCTTACTTTTGTTTTTTATTTTTATTTTTTGGCGCTGCTTTTTCACAAAAATGTGAAGCATGCTGTGCTTCCATTAGGTCGAGATTCTATGAAATCCTGCGGGTAACCGGACCTCCCATTCGGCTTGTATTTCGCAGCACTTCGTGGCGCGACCAAGTGGAAAGGGCACCGAGGAGCAGGAGGGAGGTCTGTGAACGCGCACGTCAGCCCAGAAGAGTCCCATGCTTCGTGTTCACGCGGCCAGAAATGGTTGGTATTTCAGGTATGGCTTGCGCTTTATCGACGTCCGACGATTGGTGGCTCATGAGGCCTTCTGTTTTTGGTCTCGTTGGCTTTTCTTTGGCGAAGGAGCGTCCTTCTTCAGCGCCAGCCCGAAGAAGATATACCAAGGCCTCTCCGCCGCACACCCGCATCTTTCCGCATCGAGATGAAGTTTTCCACACTTCTCCTATGCCTGTTGGCTCTCTCAGCCTTCAGCGTCGTGTTGGCCGGTCGCCTAGGCGAAGGTGAGGGTGATCTTGACGCCTGCCTCCAGGGCCTTTCCGAGGACTCCCAGACCGAGGCCACCCTCGAGATCGAGCTTGATGCTCTCAAGGCCGAGTACGACAGCATCCGCCACGAAGTCGACGTGTGGCAGTGGTACAGAGACGACAACCGAACGGACGCCATGGTCTGTCTCAAAAACCTCACCCTTTGCAACGACGCCAACGAGTTCAAGACTGTCAGCGTCAACGGCGACAAGAGGGAAGTCCACTACCGCGGTACGCCCAACTCGCGGTTCTTGGGTGGTCGGCGGTGGTTGTGGTTCCCTCACATCTTTCTTCTTCTCATTGTTGCTAGATGTTGAGCAGTTGAAGTTCAAACACCCGATCGAGAAGCACGAGGACGCGCTCAAGGCCCGCATCGCGGCGCTGGATAGGCACTTCGCGAAGGGCGGCGTAAAGCTCTCGCCCAAGAGGCACACTCGCGAGGTCCTCCAGTGCACCCTCGAACAGTGCATCGATTTCCGCGCCTCCAGCATCGCCTACATCAACAGCCTCGAGATGGCCATTGAGAAGTACCATCAAAAGATTTCCGATGTTAAGAACGGCGTCATCACCTGGTCTAGGTTTGTTTTCATCTCCCCCCCCCCAAATTCACATCCTCAAACCTGCGCATAAATTTATCTTAATTTTATGATCATCGACCCCAGGTTCTCGCGGCAGTACCAGGATCTTCTCAATGTGTGCCTCGCCACGCTCGACAAGTGCACCAGCGGCGCGCGTCTTCTGAAGATTTCCTACACCAACGGTTCGCCTCGAACGTTTTCGGCCAACGTGAATGCCGCGTGGGCCGGCCTCGGCGACAGCACTTTCTCCTTCGCCGCCTATGACGCCGAGCTGAGTGTACGTGTCGCTCTCTGCATCTTCTCTTAGCTCCACCTGCCTGGTGCACCCGTTGCCTGCGTCAACGCCAAATAACCATCGCCCTGGGCTGGGTCCTGTCCAGGCTCTGAGCACCGGAGACGACGTCGCCGTCGATGACGCGTTCAGCGGCACCAACCTCGACGGTCTCACGCTGACCGCATTCCCCGCCGGTAAGTTGAACATGCACTTGCGCGTTCACACGACCGCACTATCAGCGCGTGTTGCTTCGGGGCTGACCTGACCTGCTTCTTCTTGCCGTCGCCAGCTCCTCTTGCCGACGGCGAGAGCATCTTGCTCGGTAATCTTGAGGCCGACGCGACCTACCACACCCATTTCAGCTACATCGCCACTCAGGTCAACAGCGCGTACCAGCGTACGACTGCCTGCGGCCACTGCGCCACCCCATCCACCTCCCCCCCCTTTCCTGACTGAACTCTTGCTCTTGCTCTCCTCTGCAGTGCCTCTGCCCGGAACCAGCCTGGTACTCTTCGATGAGGAAGGCAACTTCATCCACGATGCCTCCAGGGAGCCCAACAAGAGGGTACGCAACGTTGCCCCCCCCCAGTAGCAAGGAGACGAAGCGGTGGTTGTAAGCTCACAACAATGTTTCCCAATGGCGCCCGGACACCGCGCGCAGAGGAGCACCAGGGGCAAGAGGTACAACTGGCCCGACCTTGACTGCGGCGCCGAGGGCCACCCCATCCCCTTCGGCGAGCCTCACATCAGGACTTTCCTCGCCACGTACGCCGTACACCGCTTATCCTGCTCTCTCTCTCTCTCTCTCTCGAGACATCTCTTGCTCGGCCACTGAGATTAACGGCCCCGTGCTGCTTCTTCTAGGGACCTCTTCTCCGAGGGCGCTATCGACTCCAACAACGGCGGCTACGGTGCCTTCACGGTGGAGGAGATCCGCTTCGTGGCACCCTACCCTTCGTCCATCCCCGCGTCCGCCTTCCTGCCGGAGGGGGCAGTGTAAGAAGGACCACCCGGAGTGCTGCTTCTGTCGTGAAAGGCCTCCCTGTCTCTTTCTCTTTCTCGCTCTCTTTCTTTCTGTGCTTCTGCGCCAGAACAATACGACACTGCGTTCCTTCTCGCTGCTTGCTCCACCGTGAGACGATGAAGCAATGTTGATTGATTGGGGGGGGGGTATGAGCGAGGAAGAGGAACGATGAAGTAGACTCTGGTAGAGAAGTGAAATTCGCAGGATTGAGGAGGAACTCGCAAGAGAAAAGAAGGAGGGAAGTGTAAAAACGACTTGTAAGTAGAGAAGGAAGAGGATGGTGATTATGCTGTGGGAAGGCAGGTGTGGCTGTCCTGTTGTTGTGGTGGTTGGAGTTCGGCGTCGTCCTGGCGCGCTGTGATCGGCATGCAGTGGTGCGTCACCACCCTTCTCACCGGGATCCAAAGGCCTGGCGCAGCGAAGAGGAGGTTAGCCAGAGTCACGGCGATCGTAGGGAGAAGGTGGTGATTGCGCGGGCAGGGGTACCTATCCAGAGGCGATAGAGGATCTGTCCGATGAGGCGGGTGGTGAGCGTCGTGTAGAGGACCACGCGATCGCAGATGGCCTTGTCCAGCGACACCGCATAGCCCCACGCCAGGAACGCCTTCAAAAAATGGTGCAGCTGCTTGCCGGCCTCCGCTGTACCCATCTGGTACATACCCTGCAAGTGCACAACGTGTGCGTAAGACACATGCGTGGTGCGTGTGCGGTTGTATGTGTGCGGTGCGCGCGGTGGTGTGTGCGATGATGTGCATGCGCGTACCTCGATGCCGTTCATCTCCTTGAGGATGGCCATGAAGATCTTCCGATTCCAGGCGGGCAGGAAGGGCTCCAGGAGGAAGAGGAAGAGGAGAACGCAGCACACGACGGCGAGGCGGAGGCACAGGCACAGGAGCCACCCGAGCACGATCACACCCGTCGAGGGGAGGAGCGACATGGAGAGGAAGAGGAGGTTGAGGTGGTTGAAGAGACCGCCGAGTGGCCCGAAGGCAGCACCGGTGGCGGTGCCGGCGGGCTGTTGGTGCTGTGGCTGGGCGTGCTGGTGGAGAGCGTGGTCGGCACCGAGGGCGCCGTCAGCCCCGAGTAGTCGTCCGGGTGCGGCAGTCGATGCGGCGGAGAGGTCCAGGTAAGGGAACCCATAGGGGTTATAGAGGAGGAGGAAGAAGGAACATAGGACCTGTCGTCGCACGCACACGCACACGCACAAGAACGCACACACGGCACGACACCACACACGCACACGAAAGGTGAGTACGAGGGACGGGAGCGCACGCGGAGAGTGTGTGTGGAGGGAAGTGAGAGAGGAGAGAGAGTGGTACATAGAAGAAGAGAAAACAGTGGGAGGCGATACGAAGAGCAAGCGCGTCGCGTCCTGGCCGGGTCCCTGCCGTCGCGTGTACAAGTTGTTCGTCGCCGACGGCCCCCGGCCCTCATCAAAAGGGCTCTCCCTGCTTCTCAGTCGCTGATTCTCAGACCTGCCGCGAGAGACCGAGGGTCAGACACCAAACACGCGTGGCACAGTGTGCGGTGGTGTCGTGTGTGTGCGTGTGTGTCGCGCGCGCGTGCGGTGGTGCGTGTGCGGCACCTGAGTTGCGTGAGTTCGGATTCAAGGGTTTGGATGTAGTCGCAGGCCGACTGGAGAAGGATGGCCTTGGTCGGTCGCGTGGGCGCTGTTCGGAGCGAGGGCACGCAGGACTGGAGGCGGTAGAAGAAGTTGGTGAGCTCCTTCCGCCTCTCGCGCTCGAGCGCCACCTTCTTCTTCTTTGCCGCCGCAACGTCGCCCGCACTGCTACATTTAGCGTCGACAAGAAGACTATCATCAGCTCGAGCAAACAAAGAACGAAAGGGAGTGGTTGGGGGGGGGAGGTGGCAAGTTTGTCTGTCGCTTTACCTTCGCTTTCGCGATCGAATGCCTGCCTGCCCGGCGACGCCTTCGTCTTCGCTCCTCTTGCGGCGCTTCTCGCCGCGGCCCTCCTTGTCCTCCTCGTCTTGGTCGTCGTCGTCATCGTCGTCATCGTCGTCGTTCCACTCGCCTCCCTCCGATCCCTCCTTCTCGCTCGCGGCCCGCTGCTCCTCCTTGACCGCCTCCCTTGACGCCCCCGATCCGAGCTTGGCGTCGCTGCTCCGCCTGAGCTCCGACACCGAGGCCAGGTCGGCCGAGAAGGTCGGCAGCGACGACGACGAGAAGGAGGGGAGCTGTTGCGTCGAGCCCACGACCGAGGAGGCGGACGGGTACGACGAGAACGAAGACGACACGCCGGCGGCGGGCGGGTAGGCCGGGTAGGTGGTCACCGCCGTCACCGAGCCGTCGTGGGTCGCCAAGTCCTGATGCGACACAACCCCCCCAATTGCAGGCGTCAGTCAAGTGCGTGGGCGTGTGCGCGTGCGCGCGCAGTGGTGCGTAATGGGGGGGGGGGCTGAGTGTGTGCACGGACCCATGCCGAGTTGGAGGTCGATGGGTACTGCTGTGGGCTGGAGGAATGGCCCAGGTGCAGCGCGGGAGCAGAGGTGTGGTGTCGCCGCGGGAAAGCTTGCATGGGCACGTGCTGGGTCGCCGCCGCCCTGCCCAGCTGGTGTCGCAACAGGTGGTGCATCCCCGACGCGCTGCTCGTCTGTACATCCGAAACCGCACGAACACGACACGACACACGCAGAGAGAGAGAGAGAGAGTCAGCATGTGCGCGTTGCAATGCAGGCTGGCGTGGTGCACGGGAGAAGGGACTGGACCTCGGCGAGCTGCATGAATCGGTCGTCGCCGGGCATGGAGTGCGGCTGCGCCCCGCCGTAGTAGTGATGGAGAAGCGGGCTCGAGCGGTCGTTCTCCTGCTTGATGGGGAACGAGGCCGGGCCGCTTCCCCCCACGGCGGCGAACAGCTGCGGCTGTCCACCGGTGCTCTGGCTCTGGTGGCGACTGTTCGAGTGGTGGTGGTGGGCGGAGTTCCAGTCCGCGTTGTCGCTGCCCCAGCCGGCGCCGTGGCTCTCCCTACGCCAAGACCGCGGGCCATCAACACCAACAACGACGGTTAGCCACAGTAACGAAAGTTGCAAGCATTATTGTGAGTTTCGGACATAAATAAATATTACCACATAGGAGATGTAATGCAATGTGTGCCGGAGTATAAAGACTCGATTGTTCCAATAACAGGACGAGAAAAGTTTAAGTTGTGGTCATATTCAAGTAATTGGTGAGTGGAGTGCTGAAAAGGCGGGGGAGAAAGAAGGTTGGGGTACCTTGTTGTGGAGGGGTTGACGATGGTCACGAGGGGCAGCGAAGGGGACGATGAAGAGGGGTCGGTGGCGGTCGCGGTGGTGTTGGTGGCGGTGCCGGTCTGCGTCACGGTGGGCGACGAGCCGACGGCATCCTGCGACGACGAGCTCTCCAGGAAGGCAAAGTCGCGCTCCACTTCTTCAATCGATCTGTAGGTGTCCTGCTCGTGTTGGTGTTGGTGAAGGTGGTGGTAGTGGTGCATCGTCAGCATGACGGCGTCGGGCGGCCAAGGTGTCGTTGGAGTTGTTCTTTGTTGTTGGCGAGAACAGACGAACAGACGAACAAACAACACCGTGCAGTTTCGGCCACTCGCAAGGCGGGAACGGAGCTAATGAGACGCGGGTGGCGCAGATTTGGAGCCAGGGGATATTTCGTAAATTCATGACGGGACGATCGGACCAATGGCAGCGCAGTAAAAATAAAAAAAGTGCAATAAATTCGGCCACAGCACCACATCTACATAAACGCAAACAAGACACTGATGGTAATTATCAAAGAAAAGTTACGAGAACCCAAGAACCGCCCAACACCAGTAGGCCCAGGTGTAGAGGGTGTACCGTTTGCATGGCCTGACCACCAGACTCAGTGGCCCGCGGCTCTGCTTGGCCGGAGCCCCAAGCCCGCCGGGACAGCTGTTGCTGTTGCTGTTGATCCGCCGCCGATCCAGTGGCGAAGTAAGAGGTCCGCGTCGGCGCGGCGCCGTGGTAGTGGTGGCCGAAGGTTGTCGCCGGAGCTTGTCGGTGGTGCTGGTGCTGGTGCTGGTGCTGGTGATGCTGGTGTTGGTGTTGGTGGTGCGCATGTTGTTGATGTTGGTGGTAGTGGAAGTGCGGGTGAGTGGGGGTCGGTAGCTGATGTACGCGCGAGGTAATGGAAGTGTGCGCCAACGGCGTCACAGAAGAGGGCGAGGAAGAAGATGGGGCCGGGGAGGGGGAGGAAGTGGTAGAAACGGAAGCTGCAGCCGTCGAAGGCTCGACCGCGGCAATTGCGGAAGACGCTTGGCCCTCGCCTTCCGCCTCCGGAAGGAAGTCACCAGTTTTTGATGCCATCAAGATGGAGTGGCGCGGCGAAGAAAAAGAAAGATGCCGGGTGGTGATGTGATGTGTTGAGTTCGCTATCGAACCCTCGTGAGCGCGTCGGTGACCGTTGGGAGCCCCTCCGGAGAAGGGTGGTGACGGGAGGGGACGAGGTCCGGGGTGGTCGTGAAAACCGCGGGTTGGCCGGCAAGGAAGGGAAAGGCGAGTGCGTTCCCTCTCTACTCGTTCTTCGCTGACGTTAGCTTCTCCTTTCTCTCAAAGTCCGGCTTCTTGCCACTTCACTCGCTCGCTGACACTCTCAAGCTCGGTCTGTCGCACACCAAAAAGATAATACAGAAAAATGAGTGTGTTGCTAGCGCCCGCGGGTGGGTCCTGTTCAAACGAGCGGGTGCACCCTGGCAAAGGCCTACGTTCCCCTGTCTTTTCTCCCCACTTGCCGAGGCCGCACTGGACGTTTCAGACTCGGTTCAAGTAAGCCTTCTCGAACAAGGAGGGGTTGAGAGCTCACAATCACAGGTGGATATTTGAATCAAGGGTTATTTCTGGACAGGAGGTGCAATGCTGCGATTTCGTGTGAAACGCCCAAGCACATGACTCGACCTTTCATCCGATTTGCAGGAACGTGAAGCGCTCTTTCGTCATATGATCTCCGATTCAAGCTTACAGTGAACCAATTGGATGCCCTTGCGCATCTGATTGGATAGGATTATTTCTATTTCTCCGATTTTGCAAGCACTCCGAACAGCCAGTGCACAATGTAGCAGGAGCAGCTTCACATTCTCTAACCCTAAGCTCACAATTGCCCGAGGAAGGGAGCTACCCGGACCGAGGAGTCGTTCATAGAAGATCGGCTGTGCGGGTATCCCCGAGCCACCAAGCTAGCTTGCAACACGCGCGGGATTGTTGCGTTCTTTAGTGGTGTGACCGCAATGGTGCGGGACAGGGGTCATCGCGAAGGGCATGGTGTGGCCTGATAGTCGGCAAGGTCCGCCAGGTTGCCGCAGTAGCCCGCGCAGGCGCTCAGGAGGGCGCACACATGCCACAACCCGTGTGAGTGAAAGTGATCGAACATGCCGGGCCAGAACCGCTCTGGGAATCTGCACACAAGCGGGTGAGCGCACATCTTGTGTGCTGGTGATGTGTGATGCCGTAGTGTTGTTTGTGTACCGCTGAGCGTTGATGAAGCCGCCGAGAAAGATGAACACCCCCGAAAAGAAGTGGTACACAAACGCCGACGTCACACCTGGTGTGACCAGAGACGCCAACGGGTTCGAGTCAGTGACACTACCGACATCACACTACAAACGGTGAGGCATTGCAAGGGTGGTGGCCACAATACCAATGGCCATGATGCGCGGCACAAATATGGAGACGCCCAACACGGCCCGTACAAAGCAAAACCCGCCCAGCGACAGTGCTCTGGGTCCACACACAACGGAGTCGGCTCAGCTAAGTGAGGCGGCGTCACGCATTCGGCTTTGGGGGGGGGGGCGTGCGTACCGCTGTCGTGCCGTGGTGGCGGTGATGGCGAATCGGATCATGGCGAGGGAGAAGAGGAAGAAGGCGATCCACAGGAAGGTGGGCAGCGCCGACGTCCAGCAGCGGTAGCCCCACGCGATGAACGAGTGCGACATGAGTGCCATCCCACCTGGCCACAGCACCATGTTCACATCAGCCCCGCGAAGAAGCCCCGAGAAAAGCGGATCGAGTGCGCAAGAAGACCGCGCGTACCGACAGCCGAGACGAGATCGTAGAGCAAAAGGTTGGTGTACTGTCTCGCCGTCCTGAACAGAGCGAAGGTGAGGTGGTCGTGCCACTATCGTGACAACAAGCCAAACCCAAGCAAGCAGCGCTGGGGGTGCGTGGCGCCGAACCGGCAGGCGGGCATGTAGGTGTGATAGGCGGCAGAGCCCACGAATATGACCCCGAGGGAGAAGAGGAGGTACATTCGGTACCAATCCACCTCGGCCCGCGTAAGCTCACTCTATGCCCCGTTCGTGGCGTGTCAGGCGAGTCAAGATGCCGCTGGTATTGTGTGCAAGCAGGGGCAAACGCACCGCGACGCTCCAGGCGACCACCAGCGCGGGCAGCAGGTGCGTCCATATGTTAACGCCTGCACACAAATTAATCTCAATCATCTCCCTGATTGTTGAAGTTGAAATTGAATTGGGAACGCACTCTCGTTGTGGAATTGGAAGATGCTGCGTGTGCACTCGGCTATTGAGGAGGGGCAGCGTCGGTACCCTTCCCACACATAGGGATTGAACTGCAAATGCTCCGGCAGATCCTTCAGCCCACAAAGCAGACACATCCACACTAAAAATAAATAAATAAAATAGCTGTTGTTGCGGAGGTCGCTGGTTTTTATGGTTGATCGCCTTGTTGTACTGCAGGGGTCTATGCACGTGGCACAGGCCTTTTAGTTCCTTGGCTTGGTGGTTCTTCGCTGGCGCTTGCTGCGGGTGGGCTCCTCGGCGCTCTCGCTCGACGGGGACTCGTCTTCGGACTCTTGTCGCGCCGAGGCCCTGTGCCTCCGACCGGTCCTCGGCGAGGGCGTTCGCCCGCCGCCACCGGAGGAGGCCTCGTCCCTCTCGTCGCGGTCTCTCCGCCTCCGAGCCGAGTCCAGGGCCATCGCGTGCTCCTGCACCTCGACCTCCTTGACGTGCTGCTCCTCGTCGCGCAGCTCTCGCTTCACGAACGCCATCGGGTTGTTGGCCGCCAGCTGCGCCAGCAGGGCCGGGTCGATGGGCAGCTGCGCCATGGCGGCGGCCGCGGCTTCGGCGCTCGGATGGGGCTGGTCGGGCGCCGGGTAGGGGTACGGGTAGGGATAGGGCGGATAGCCGGGATAGGCCGGGTAGCCCGGAGGCAGGCCGCCAGCGCTGGGCGGCGGCGGGTACGCCGGCAAACCGTAGGAGAGCAGGTGCGGGAACGAGGTCAGGATCGCCGACAGCGCGGCGGCGTGCGGGAGGAACATGGCCGGGTTGTAGCCGGCAGCGGCGGCGGCGGCCGCCTGGGAAGACTGGGCGGCCGACGCGGCGGAGGATTGAGACTGGGCAGACGGGGCCGTAGAAGAGCCCGCCGCCGGGTTGGGGATGGGTGGAAGGGTGAAGTAGTGCGGGAGAGCGGAGGCGGCGGGTGGCTGCGAGGAGCCCGACGAAGCGAGCGTCGACGGGTAGCCGCCCGGATAGGCCGAGGGGCCGGCGCCGAGCTCGGCCGTGGCGGTCGGCTGACCGGGGAGGAATGCCGAGGTCGGGGTGGGCGAGCTCGGGCGGATGGGCGCCGACGCGAACGATGACGCTGCGGGCAGGGCAGCCGTCGATCGCTTCAGGCCGCTGCCGGATGACGAGGAAGAGGAGCCCGACGGCATGGTCGAAGAGGCCGACGACGAACGCGGACCGGAAGACGACGATGCGGACGAGGCGGCAGAGTAGTACGAGGCCGAGGGGTAGTACGAGAAGGAGGACGTGGGGGAGGAGGATCGGAACGAGCCCATGTGGAATGTGGGCTTCGAGGCGGAGGAAGACGACGACGCACTGTCGCCGTTGCTGCTGCTGCTGGTATTGGTATGCGAGGCGGAGGAGGGCGGCGAGGGGTTGCGTGCGTTGAGCGACGCTGAGCGCGAGCGCGACCCGACGCGCGTTGATGAAGGCGTGACCGCCGGCGGCGAGGCCGGGTGCGGGGCGGTCTGGCCCGTCGGCGACGATGGCGCCAACGATGACGACGACGCGGCGACGGCCTGCGCCGAGGAGGTGGAGTGGGCCAGGAGGCTTGAGGTGGGTCCGATGTTGGAGTAGTAGGTGATGTTGTTGTTGCGGGAACCGAGCCGCCTGGTGTTGACGAAGGGGAAGACCTCGCGGAAGATCTTGCCCAGCACGCTGCTCGTGGTGGGCTCGATGCCCACACGGTTGCAGTAGGCCAGGTAGTCCTTGTAGACCATCTTCTTCGCCACGGACTGGCCCTGCACCTCGGCGTACGAGGACTTGAGCCACTCCTTGATCCAGGGCACGGCGTTGCCCTTGGCCAGCGAAATGAACTTCTTGCCCTTACTGGTCTTCTCCACGGGCTCCTTCTCGGGCTGGTAGCTCTCGTACACTGGCCCGCTGATGATCTGGCGATGTGGCGGACGAGAGAGGTTAGCTCTTTTTTTAACTCCGAATGCACAGGTAACTGGGCGCAGGCGTGAGTGGCGGCTATACCTCCGAGAGCGCGGTGAGCGTTTCGAGAAGGGTGGTCAGACATCCGTGGAGCTTCTCCTCGACCTCCTTCTGGAACTGCAACTGGACCACTGCGAGAACAAGCGCGGAAGGAAGAAGGTGAGGAAAAGCGGACCACGATATAGAAAAGCGTGAATGTATTGCGAACGTACGTTCGGCGCTGAGCTCGGTCGCCTGCTCAATGACCCTGTCGACCGCCAGCGAGGAGAACTCCTTCACCCAGTAGCAGAAGCGGATCAAGTCCACGCAATAGCCCTGATTTCAGATATCATACCCACAGCCAACCACCGGTGGTGAGCACCAGCGCCGCAAATCGGATTCAATCCAACCAGGCGAAGAGAGGTACCGTGAGGGTCAAGGCGTGCAGGAGGATCAGGATCAGCGTGTGCTGCGTGTCGGGGTGAGCGAACTGCTCGAACACCGGGAAGAGCTTGGTGTGCAGCGCCTGTCGGGATTACGCCCAAGACAAGGAGGAGGTGAGCGCTTGCAAGCGTGACGGCTCGTCGTCGTCCGAGAGATGGGAGGAGTGGGCAGCGTACGCTGAAGCGTTCGACGAACTTGGGGTCGATGCGCTTTTGGGCCTGGATGAGGAACTGCAGAATCTCGGACGATCGCGTCCGCACGTTCTGCTCGTCGTACCACTTGCGCAGGCCCTCCTGCGTAGGCGGCGGCGGCGGCTGCTGCTGGATCGGCTGCACGCCTTGTTGCCTCTGTCGTGTGGATCCCCCCGCCGCACTCGCGGTCAGTCCCATTAATTCGGTGCACCACGAACTGAAGAAGCGTCAACCCGTGGCAGTACCAGGTCCCTCGGGATGAGCGCCTGCTGCCCCCTCACGGCGGCGGCAGGGGCGGCGGAAGTCTCCTTCCCTGTCGCCGCGCTCTCGGTGGCCGAGCTGCTGGCCTTGTCGGGCTCGATGCCGACCTCGTCCTCTCGGCGGCTCTTGCGCTTGCTCCTGCGGAGACTGGGCGAAGATGGCGAGGGAGTGGCATCGGTCATGGGCAACACCGTCGTCTGGTCCTTGGTCTCCGGCACGTCCTTGCCTGTCGCAGGGGCGACACAACAACAACAACATGTGTGGAGGCTGTCAAGAAGGACCAAGCACACAAAGAGACGATTCATGGCAGCCCACGTAATTTTGCAATTTGGTGGTGCGTATCAACCAAACTCCGCGAACCAACGAGAACAAGTGGAAGTAGTGAAGTGCCACGAATATTCTTATTCTTATAATTCTTATTTATCTCACACGGTTAGATAAAGTACCTTTTTGGAGGCTCTTCAGCGTGGCGGCCTTCACCGTCGACGCGAAGTCGGCCCACATGTCGCCGCCGCTCGTCGCAGGGGTCGCAGACTGCCCGGCGCCGTTGGTCTCCGCCGGGTGTGGAGGGATTGGGAAGGGCCCCAGCGGGAGGGGCACGCTGTGCAGGGGAGGCAGCACGCCGGGCAGCAGCGAGGGCATCGAGCCCGAAGTGGCCGCAGACGATGCAGCGACGTCTTCCGCTGGCCCACCGCTGGTCTCTGCGCCCAGTTCGGTGGGAGGCGGCTGCCGCGGCGATGGCGCACGGCCCGCATCGGCGGTGGTGGGCCTGGTCTTGACGGCCAGCGGGAGCAGGGCGTCGGCCTGCCGGGGTCCGGTGATGGCGGTGGTCCGGGCCGGGGGTGACTGGAACCGCAGTGGCGGCTGGTCCTTGCAGGCGGAGGCCTCCAAGGCGACGTGCGTGAGGGCCGACGGAGAGGAGGCTTTGCCAAAGTGCGCGGACGAGATCTTGAGCTCGAAGCGGGCCTCCCCGTTGGCCGGGTCGTGCGAGAGCAGCTGCAGCTTCGCGGCGTTGATCGGGAGTGGCTCCGGCGCTGGCCTCTTGTCCTTGAATTGGTTACCACTATCGCCTTCGCTTTCGCTCTCACTTTCGTCGGGGCTGCTCCTGAGCTGCCAGACGAAGTGGACATTGGGCTTGCCGCTCGGTTGTTCGTCCTTTTTACCCTCTTCCTCCGCTTCATCGTCTTCCTCGATGACCTGGAGCTCTTCTTCCTCCTCGTCGCCCGACGACGAAGCCGCCGAATCGACCTTCTTCTTCTTCGTGTTGCTGTGGTTGTTGTTCCTCGCCGGCTTCTTGGGCGGGGCTCCGTTGCCCGTTGCTGACGTCAGCTTCTGCTGTTCGGCGTCGGGGTCCACTTCGCTCGCGTGCCGCACGCGCAGCTCGCCGTCCCCGACCAGCTCCTCGCTCCTGGCCACCAGTGTGTAGTACCGGTCGCACTCGACGGGACCCGTAACGGGCACCTCCGGCGGCGCGGGCTTCTCAACGCGGCCGCCGAGCGACCTTCGGCGCGCCTTGCGGATCGGTGGCGTGGCCGCCGGGCTGGTCTGTTCCACGAGGCGCAGCTCCATCATCTACTGTGGCTCGGGGGGGCGGTGCTGGTACGTGTTTGCACGGTGTGCTCGTGGGTGCTTCACGAACAGCCGACTTCTCGCCTGCTTTTGTCAACTCCGAATGTGGGGCGGTTACGCGGCAAGCGTTGTTCTGCCACCGCACGTGGAAGAGCATCGCAAGTTAGCGCACGGTTGGGGCTGCAGTGCTCGACGTAATTATTGGTTGTGCAAAGCGAGGGGCAGCACTCGAAGTGGGGTCCTCGGCGATCACAAAGGAGAAGGAACACCCACCAGCCATTAATTTTTGGCTTCACACTCTCGGCGTGGGTCGTGGGGGCGATGGCTCCACCGATGCAAAACGTCGAGCGTGGCACATCCCCATCTTTCATCCTTTAAGTTACCCTGTAACTATTCTTTCATTGTTTTTTGATGTTGTTGGACGGCGCATGCCGTAAATAAAGTTGGAGGCGGTGAGGCGTGGACACCAACCCACGCACTTGATTTTACAAAGCAAAGGTTAGATGGGCTGGGTAACCCTCAAGTTGAAGTGTAACCTCAAGATTTAAAGTTTATCCAGAGCGCGGAGTAGATTTAGAAGCATCTTTTCTCAATCCATCTATTCCGCACTATGATGATGTAGATTTGGAGATAAACTTTGATGTTCCGCACGATGAACGAAGAACTAACTAAAAAGAGCGAAGATAAAAAAGAACGAAAGCGAAGAGCGAACGTACCAGGTTGTGACGGCGTTGTTGGGCTGAGGGCGAACTCACGCAAACAAGACGCGCTTTGGTGGCTGCTGCAGGCTGCGGAGGAGAAAGGAGAAAAGGTGGTTGTGCTTGCCCACGCAGACGTTGCCGCTTAGCGGCCGAGCGAATCCCCTCGGTCCAACCACCGTCTGGGCCGGTTGGTCTGTGCTTATCCCCGCGTGTGCTTTGATTAGCCCAGACCACGCCAGCAAAAATCACAACCATCCTCTCCCCGAAGCGCGCTTCATGCCGCTACTTCCCAGTTACTCATCAGTTAGAGTCGACACTGTCATCCCTCGGTTCATTAGCAAAGGCCGCACCTTTCGAACCGTCAGCCTGCAACGCGCTCTTCGGCTCAGCTTTCTGTGGAATGCGGCACCCGCGTGGCCAGCAACCTGCCCCAAATGCCCCCGACCTGAAGCGGGGTGATGCCAGGACACCAGGACTTTCGCTCCTGGTGACAAACACGTGGGAATCGAGGCTGAAAGGCCGGTTTACGCGAAGCAGGCGCAATGTACCGTTGTTCAGCTGCAACGGTAAAGGGCCTAAGAAGGGGGACACCACGGTCGATAAATTGTTGTGTCGCGCCACACATGAGAGGGGGACACCACGGTCGATAAATTGTTGTGTCGCGCAACCACGTTGGTGGCCGCGCCTTTGGGGAGAATGCATTGATGTTGGCGTGCGCTACGAGCAAGAACAAAGAGAGGACAAAAGAGAGTTCTGTTTGGTCCCTTACTCGCTCTTCTCCTTCTCCACCAGCCTGCCGATGCGCAGGGTGTCGATGATGTTGCGCGCAGCGTTCGAGTGGTTGTACACCAGGCCGTTGAACGCAGCCGACGCGTCCTAAAGACCAAGCAACAGTCAAGTTAGTGATGTTGTTTGGTGCACAAAGGGGGAGGGGTACGATCGTACCTTGCCCAGGTAAGGCTTGACGATGGCGGAGCCGGCGGGGTGCTCGTCGATGAAGCCCCGCACGTCGTGCACGAAGCCGTCCACGACGATGAGCTGCTCGCCCTTGGAGAACTCCTCCTGGACCTTCTCCATGGTGTACTCGGGGAGGGTGTCGGGCTGCGGACCCCAGTGCAGTAGCTCGCGGCGGCGGATGACCTCCTTCTCGAGCATCTGGAGCTTGCCCTTCTCGATGGTCTCCTTGTCGAAGCGCATGAGGTGGTAGGTGCCGCCCACGTACGAGAGAGCCCAGATGAGCCACTTGGTGGGGTCGAACGAGTGGTACTCGGCGCCGTTGCGGTAGTCGTAGGGGAACTCGTGGTGGAAGTTGTGGTAGCCCTCGCCGAAGGTGATGAGACCCACCAGCCACGAGTCCCTCGGGGTGCGCTGGTCAGAGTAGGTGAACGAACCAAAGTAGTGGGCAACGCTGTTCACGCAGAACGTGGCGTGGTGCACCAACACGCGCGACAGCACGCCTAACGACAATGGGAGAGGGGGGGGGCAGCGTCAGCGTCACTATATCACGAGCACAGCTCAGGGGGGGGCAAGGTACCGGCGATGAGGAAGCCGCCCATCCAGTCACCCCAGAACATGCCGGCAATCGCGGTGGGCAGGATCAGACCCTGGAACAGGGCCAGGGGCGCGTAGTACTCGTCCTGGAAGCGCATGACGGGGTCGCGCTGCAGGTCGCGGATGTCCGACTTCGGAGGCTCCCTCTGCCAGAGCAGCCAGCCCAGGTGGGCGTACCAGAAGCCCTTCTTGATCGTGTAGGGATCCTTGTCCGTGTCGGTGTACCTGTCACACGCACACAGCGCGTGAGCACGGGAGAACCCACCTCCATTTTTTCGGAAGAAAGCCTGTGGGGTTGTTACCTGTGGTGGGCCCTGTGGTCGTTGCACCACTCCAGGCACGACATCTGGAAGCAGCCGGTGGCGAAGAACAGGAGGGTGTACTTGAACTGGGCGCGGGAATGGAGGTAAGCTGAGCACGAGCCGAGCCAAGAAATTGCTCGATTAAGGTGGTGGGTTGGGGGGGGGGAACGTACGATGGGGTGGGCCGAGTAGGCGCGGTGAGAGAACAGGCGATGGTAGCCGGCGGTGATGCCGATGCCTCCGGTGAGGTAGTGGAAGAAGAACAGCACCCACGTCTGCCAGTAGTACTGGCAGTAGATGAGGCCCACGGCACCGAGGACCGGGGTGACGGCCAGGAAGATGGCGGTGATCCAGTTGACCTCCTTGAGCATGTCGGCGATGACGTCGCGGGCCTGGGTGGCGTCCTTGATCAGGCCCTTGCTGACGAGCTCACCGGTGCGCGACTTGAGCAGCGCGAAGAAGTCGACCTCCTCCAGGCGGACGGAGATGGACTCCGCGGTCGACTCCTTGAGGAACTTGAACGCCTCCTTGAGGTTGTAGATGGGGATCATGGGGTTGGCCTGCTTGACCCTCCTCTCCTTCTTCAGGTTGTCCTTGCTCTCGGTCGTCTGTCAGAGATCGAGAGCGCACGCGAAGGGAAGAGAATGCTGTTTGTGAGCTCACAGCGGGCGTGGGGCAAGAGGGTGGGCTCGAGTGCCTGGCTGGAACGTACCTCCTCCTCTTCGGCCGGGAGATCGACGTTGAGCGAGGTGGTGAACTGGTGCAGCGAGGACACGGCATAGTTGAGCTCGCACGAGAGGAACTCGACCCACTTGGGGTACTTGTAGTGGGCAAGAGTCACGAGGTCGCTGCCAAGGGAAAAGAGAGCGGGGGGGGGAGCGAATGAGTCATGGTAGCGGCGAAGCGAGTGGTGGGTCAAGTGGGTCTCGAGGGGTTGATGTACCTCTTCTCGATGTTGGAGAGGAGCTTGAGGAGGGACGAGGTCTTCAGGAACGAGGAGGCCCAGAAGTGGTACACCACGATGGGCATGATGTAGTACTTGAACAGGCCCCACACGCCGGTGAAATAGATGACCAGCGGGAAGAAGATACCGGCCACCAGGTAGAGGACCACCAGGTTGCCCAGCACACGCTTGCTCTGTAAGGTCCGGGGCGTGAGCTGGCTGTGGACCCAACCGTGAAGGGGAGGGGCGCTGAAAGGCCGGGGGTGGGGTGATGGGCGAGTAACGAGTTCGCACCTTGAGGGAGAAGAGGGCCTCGATGTGCGCGGTGATGCCCTGCCAGAACGAGCTGCACCACCAGAAGTGGGAGCACGACAGGTAGTTCTGCACCTTGGCGCACACGGTCTCCTTCTGCTGCGTGAGCTCCTCGCGCCTGCGCGACGACACCACCACGGCAACAGTTAGGCCACCTCGAGGCACAACTATTGATCGCCAGGCTACCACTGCGCCCACGGAACAACGGGACCACGGACATGACGACACCGGGGGGGGGGAGTGTACCAGGCCTCGAAGGGGAGCATGAGGGGAATCAGGCAGATCTGGCCAACAATGTGGTTGATGACGGTGTTGTTGAAGAACGTGTCGGTACCGCAGGCATAACCCACCGCCAGCAACTGCAGCGAAGATTACCAGTGAGTGAAATGACGATGATGCACAATTGTCAAACAATGCTCAAAGAATGGCACTCTTGCTAAGATAACGAATTGTAATCGCAGTGAGAGGAAGGAGCGTACACTGGCGAAGCAGGTGCCTGTGATGATCCAGCCGAGTGGCAGGAGATACCACGGCATGACGGTAAGGAACGCATAGGCGGTGGTGAGCAGGACGATGGCCTTGGTGAGCCTGAGGAAGGCCTTGCCACTGCTGCGCTCGAACAGCTGCGCATCAAACACAAATACAGTGAGCAATGACTCACATTGCTGCTCTCGTCCAATCTTTATAAAGTCATGAGACCTAAAATGAAGAGAAGTGGGTTCGTTACCTTCTTGGGGAACTTCAGCATCTGCTGCACCTTGGGGGTGATATCAGAGATCGACGGCATGGTCGGGCACATGAGCTTCAATTCCTCCATCTTGAGACCTAAAAATTCAACGCGTCAATCCGGGCCAATTATGTTAATGCTCCTGTCATCTCATGTAGCATGATTTAGTAATATAATTGATTGCGTGCTAGGCTGAGGAATCTCGTACTGGCTGTGATGTTGTCTGGCCCTTCTTCTGTGCGGAATTGAACAGATCCCAGCAGCTGTGTGGAGTGCACAGGCCTGGGCTCGCCGAACGGTACCTTGAAGAGAAGACAAAGAGCGCAGAAGGCGACGGCGAACTTGTCTCCCCTCCGGAGTGCCGCGGTAACCAATCGCCGCCATTCCCAGCCAAGAGCCCGACCGCCCAACGAAATTGGTGGAGTTTAGATTACTCAGCGAAACCACGCGGAGCAGTCCAGTGTCTGACCAACAGGAGAAAAAAACGGAAATGCCCGAAACCTATGGGCGAAAAGACCGGGCAGCTCCTCTTTCTTTAGGCAACGCATTTCTTTTACGTTTCTTTTTGGAATTAAATAAAATAAAAAACAAGCAATTGATAAGAGATGGAGGGTGTGGAGGACAGCAAGAAGCGGAAGGAGCCCTCGGTGGCAGAAGTCGCGGAGGTTGTGCCGGAGGAGGACATCACGAGTGGCGTTGAAGAGGCCGGCACCTCCGCCGACGCTGTTGCGGCCAAGAGGCCTCGCCTTGAAGATGAAGGATCCAACCCTCCATCTGCCCAGCTCAAGGTGCGCACACAAGTGGCTGCTCTCCTTCCTTTCGTTGGCCAATCTCCATTTTTTTTTTTTTTTGCCGGAGCGATTTAATCTTACATTTGCACTCTTTTGGTACCAGTTTGCGGGCGAGGACTCGAACGGAGCGGAGTACGCCAGCGAGGAGGCCCTGTGGCGCTCCCTAAAGCGCGCCAAGACGCCCGAGGGCGGGCAGGGCGACGACACCACAGCGGAGGGCAAGCCCTGGTACCAGGGCTCCGGTACCGCCTACCACCGCCGCTATTTTTTTTTTGTTTGCCAACGTGGTCGCTGCAGAGGAGTACTGGGCCAAGGTGGAGCCCACTCTGGACGGCGTGTTGGGCGGGTTCGGCTTCTTGTCCACCATCGACATCAAGACCTCGCGCGCCTTCCTATCCAGCTTCATCCCCGCCATTGGCTCTACTTCCAGATCTTCGACTTCAACCTCTTCTTCGACCTCTTCTTCGACTTCCTCCTCCTCTACAGACACAACTTCTCCACCTAGCCTCGCTCCGATCGAGACGACTCGAGCTCTCGGTACCGCTCCATTCCTCGTTCCCCCACGCAAACACCTCTCACACCTCGTCCACTGTATTCTGTGCGTTGTGTGTGTGTGTGTGTGTGTGTGCAGATTGCGGTGCGGGAATCGGAAGGATCACGCGCCACCTCCTCCTTGACCTCTTCGATCGGGTAATGCCGCCTCTCGTTTTGTCCTCTAATCCCGGGCCACCCGAGGGGACACTGATGCCGGGTGTCGTGTGAACCGCAGGTCGATCTGGTGGAGCCCGACGCCCGATTCCTGGACAAGGCCAAGCAGCAGCTGGGTCCTCTCCAGCCCCTGAACGGCCACCGGTGCGCCCCTCTAATTATTGTTTATTATTGTTTATTATTATTATTATCGTTTATATTTTTATTTACTGTTTTACTGTTTAACTCTTCTGGGCGGCCCTCGACTCATCGTGTGGTCGGCTCCAGGGTGGAGGGGTTCTTCTACGAGGGCTTGCAGTCCTTTGCTCCCGCAAAGCAGCACTACGACCTCATATGGATCCAATGGGTCATCGGCTACCTCACCGACGGTACGCAGCCCTTTTTACGTCGCCACCATTCGGGTCTGCTCTCTCGCACGCGCGACTCACACCGAGCCGGTGGCGGCCTTTCAGAGGACTTTGTGGCGTTTCTCGGGCGATGCAGGGAGGCGTTGCGAGAAAACGGCATCATCGTCATCAAGGACAACCTCAACTCCAAGGAGGGCTTCTACGTGGACAAGGAGGACAACTCCATCACCAGGTCCGCTATTCTTTACCCTCTTCTTCTCTCCTTCTCGACTCACTTCATCTTCTTTACTTCTCGGGCTCACTTCATCGCCACCACACTTATGATGACAGGTCCGACGGGTACTTGCGTCGGCTGTTCGAGGAGGCGGGGTTGATGCTGGTGCGAGACGCCGTGCAGGAGGAGTTCCCTCCGGGCATGCTCCCTGTCCGCATGTACGCCCTGCGTCCCGCCAGCACGTCCTCCTGACGACCCAAATGACCACCACCACTGCGAGTCACCACCGACCACCAGCTCGGCACGACGAAGAGGGGAAAAAATGGCAGTTGGTTGTTTTATGAAGAGCTCGGAGTGGGGAGTGGAGGGCAGCAGCTTCACTTCTTGGCGGTCTGCTTGGCGTTCTTGGTGTCGGCTCGCTTCCGCTTGTTGCCGGCGACGGCAGCACCACGGTTGACGGGCTCGCCCTGGTCCTCCTCCTGCTTCTGCTTCTTGGCGAGGGGCTGCGAGATGGGTCGGATGATGTGGCCCGCCTTCGTCTCGATCTGCAGCAACCAAGGAGGGACGTGCGCGTGAGCCACAAGAAGGCCAACGAGGAGGGAGACAAGAGGAGAGACGTCATAGAGAGAGAGAGAGAGAGCGCGCGGGGTGGTCCTGAAAACGTACGCGAGGGCGAGTGATGCTGTTGAAGACGTGCTGCGTGTTCCACTCCCTGCCGAGGGGCGTCTGGAGCTGCGCCTCGTAGAGCTCCGGCTGCTTTCGGAACGTCGAGGGAAGCTGGTCGGCCCGATAGCGCGCGAACTACAAACAGACACAGTGGTAAGGCCACTACTACGTGTCTGGGGCGGAGGGCGTTGAGGTTGGCGTTGTACCTTCTTGTCTCGCTTCTGGTTGATGATGACGTGGTCGAGGCCGTCGTCGGTCCTGGTGGGTGGCTTGACCGGGAGCCCGTCCTTGGCTCGCTTGGGCTTCTGGATGCGCGGCTGCTTCTTGGGCGGACGCGTAGGCTTGGTCACGCCCTCGCCCACCCACGCGCCCCAGCCGGGCATCACCGTCGGCTTGGCCGGAGCCGGAGCGTCGGCCTCCAGTTCCGCTCGCTTGGCCGCCTTGAATTCCTCGACCACGTCGTCGTTGGCGAAGGCCCGCTTGATGAGCTCCTTCTGCTCCTCGGTCGCCGACGCCAGCAGATTGAACGAAGAAGAAGACCCGTTACCGCTGTCGGCGCCCGATCGGTCGTCGTCGTGCTCCTTGACCTGGGCGGAGGCCACATCGGTGATGAGCCGCTCCACGTTGATCTTGAGGGTGGTCTCCGCCTGCTGCCTCTTGCCGAGCGCCTCCTTCTTCTGCTTCTTGGACACCTTGTCGTCGGCGGTGGTGCCGGCGTGCGAAGCGGTGATGACCGAGTGCGCGGTCTTCTTGGCTACGACGCCCGTCGCGGCCGACGACCTCTTCATCCACGGGTTCTCCATGTCGTGCACCTCCGGGTTTCGGGGAGCGTGGCGCGACGTCTTGGTGGTGGTGGTCGTGGTCGAGATGTGGTCGGCCTCGTCCTCTTCGTCGGGCACGGCCTGCGGGCGAGCGGTCGGGGCCTTGATGTGCGCCACCGACAGCGGACCCTTGGGCTTGGGCGAGGCCAGAGCCTCTTCCTCCTCCACCGTCGTCTGCGTATCGACTTCCGACGACGCGCTGCTGCTGACGGCGGCGGCCTTGGTGGGAGTCTGCTTCCGGGCCGGGGCGGCCTTGCTCTTCTCCGGGGTCTCGCCGTTGTTGGCCTTCTTCACCTTCTTCTTTTTGTTGGTTCGCTTGCTTTCGGCCTGGCCCTCGCTCTCCTTGAGGATGGCCGCCACCTCGTCCTTCGTCTTGTTCACGTCATGCACGACGGGTCCCGCACCCTCGACGTCGGGGAACTCCTCCACGGCAAAAATGTTGGCGATCTCGGGCTCCTTCGTGGTCTGCTTGGTGCCCTTCTTGAGAAGAGCGGGCACGTCTGGACACACACGACGTGGCGGGTGGTGAAGAAGGAGTTAGCGACGATGTTCGGCTGGTGCGTGTCGTGTCGTGTGTGGTACCGATGGTGGCGTGACCGCTCATCCTGACGGTGCGGCCGCTGGAGAGGGCGGCCTTCTCGGTCTGGTGGGTGGCGCCCGAGAACTTGACCGGCGCCGACGAACCAGACGACCCGGCCTGCGTGGTGCCCAGGTCCTTTTGAACCGTGCGCCTGCCCTTCACCTCGGTCTCCTCGGGCGCCTTCGCCTCGGCCTCGAGGTTCTCGTCGTCGCTGTCGGCGTCGCGCTGGCGCATCATCTCCTCCATGTCCCGCTCCCACTCCTCCTTGGCCTCCCGCATCTCGTCGGCGCGCCGCTTCTGACCGCGCTTCATGAAGTCCATTCCCATCAATCCCTGCAGATGCGCGCGGGGCGTCAGTAAGCCACTCAATCAAAACCAAGATCGATGGCCGGCAGTCGGCGCGAACCTTGGTGACCTGCGGCGCCTCCTCCTTCTCCAGCATGTCCAGGGCCTCCTGCAGCTCCTCCTCGTTCATGTCGTCAATATCGGCATCGTCATCCTCGTTCGCGTTCCTGTGATCATGACGGAGCAAAGCGAAAGAGGTGATGACCATCGGGTGAGCATGTACGTTGTTGTCACACACCGCCGCTGCGAACAGCCTCGAGGACCCCAGGGCGGCAGACGTACATCTGCTTCTTCAACAGCTGGTCCCTGATCTTGATCTGCTCCGAGATGGCCTGGCGGGTCTAGGAAAAAAAGAAGGCGAAAAGAGTGAATATCAACGATGTAGGCATTATCATCAGCTTATGGTGGTGCGGTACCTCGGTGTCGAGGTGGCCTCGCGTCAGTTGTCTCTGCGCCCACTTGCCCTTGTTCTTGTGCCTGTCGCGCAGCACAATGATAGTAAGAATTGTTAAGGTTGCGCGAGGTGGAATACAAGCAAGCAACAACGGACCTCTGGGTGATCCTCTCCTGGATTCGGAGGCGCTCGATCTTCTCGGCCTCTGCGCGCGCCGTTTCCTCGTCCAGCTGGCCCAGCTCGTCCAGCGACATCGCGGACTTTTGCTTCTGCTTCTTCAGAATGCGATGATACCTGCACACGCCCAAAACAACAACAACAACAAATTAATAAAGGCTTACAGGAGCAGAGGGTTGTTGTTGGGAGGAGGACGTACGCCTTGGACTTGATCTTCTTCCTCCGCTTGGCCTTGGACTCCTCGTAGAACAGGACGGCCTTCATCTTCTTGATCTGCGCCTCCCTCTGTTTGACCTCGTCGGTGCTGAGTTCGTTCATGTCGAGGCCCTCGAAGTGATCGATCGCCTGCTTCGTAACTCCGGACTGCGCCAGAATGTCGGCAATGCCCCTCTCCAGATCGTTTTGGGGCTGTGCACGGCCAAGAAAAGAACGAAAGAGAAGAAGTGCGATACGCCGGTCAACAACTGTGTCCACGAGTGGTTCTCTTCAGGGGGTATGCGTACCGTGTCGATCAGGGCCAACTTGGCTGCGGTGAGCTTCTCTGGCGCCGGCTCGGCAAACGGGAATTTGAGGTGATCGGCCTGTGCTCGCGTGGGCAAACGTGTGAGTGGATGAGTTGGCACGCTGCACAGGCAGAGGGGGCGAGTGATTGACATACCTTTCGGTTCTCCCGGACGGTGGTCTCCCACTTGTCGGTGATCTCTTCCTTCTTCTTCTCATAGGCCTCCTCGCGCGTGAGCTTCTGCTTGATAGGCTGATCCAGGGGCTGTGCGAGCAGGTTCTTCGTCTGGAGCAGAAGGAAGCAGGCAAAAAAACACGCGATGAGGAGGAACGTCAACGCATCGAGAACGCGTTCGCACATATACAAGAGAGGGGGCCTGTGGACAGGTGGGGAAGGGGCAAACCTTCTGCAGTTCAGTCAGCTGCCTCTTCACGTCGGCATACTGCAGCTCGTCCTTCAGCGATCCCATCAGCGCGTCCAGCGTGAGCATGCCCTTGTTGGCTGCGCGCGCGGGCACACAGATGAAAAAAGAGGAGGGTGAGACGGTGCCATTCGACTCGGGTGAGGCAGGTGTAGTTACCAGAAGGCTGGAGGTTGAACTCGCCCTCGGGATAGAATTGCTCCGTCGAGGGACCAGACATCTTCCTCTTCGCCTTTTTCTGATGTGTTGTGACGATATCGGCAACGCGTGTTAGTCCACTGTATAGTGCAGCGGCGAAGACTAATGAACGCTCACCTTGCCCTGCACCGCGGCCATCATGTGCTCATAGGCGCCCTCCTGCGCCTTGTTGCCGCTCTAGAGAGAGCAACAACAATGGGGTCGGTGGTGCACCCGGTCAGTCAGTCATGCAGGTGGCCCGGAAGGCGGGGATCCAAATCGGCATGAAGAGGGGGATTGCGTGCCTCCTCTTCGTCGTCTTCATTCTCATCGAGTTCGTCAAACATTTCGTCCAGACGCTTGAAGTCGCCTTCGTTCTCGTCACCCTCGAAGTCTGCGTAGAGGGGGACAAGCCAACAAAGAAAGTCAGTGTGAGTGCACGAGTGCCGAGAGGCCGAGAGAGAAGCGGAGAAGAGGACAAGGAGAGGCACCATCGGCCTCGTCGTCGTCACCGTCGTCCGAGTACTCCTTGCCGGAGTCATCGCTCTCAGAAAGTGTGATTTCCTGCAGCACATCGCATTGATCAATTGATTGTAAATAAAACATGCAAAATCAGCAAGCGTTTTGATTTGTGTGGAAATGAAGATCCTCCGTACCTGATGCTTCTTGGCCTTCTTCTTGTCCTTACCCTTGCCGGCCTTCCCTTTGGGCGCCTCCTTGCCCCTCTGGCCGATTCCGCTGAGCACTTCGCCGTATCTCTTCTCATCCTCCTCGTCGAACGCCTCATCTTCGTCGATTTCCTCGTCATCTTCAAATACATCTCCATCTTCATCATCATCCTCTTCGGCGTTTATCATGGTGGACTTGAAGCGTCTACGGGCGGCCGCATCCATGCCTTCCATGTCCGGCCTTGCCCCTTCATCAATGTGCGAGTAGAACGCGGCGTTGCCCTCTCCATCGCTGCTATCTTCATACACATCTAGCTGCGATTGCGGCTTCCTCTTCTCCGCCTTGTCCGCTACCCCCTTCTTCGAAGATGCCGACGATTTGTTGTTCTTCGCATTGCCCTTCGCAGGCGAGGTGCCTGATCTGCCCTTGCCTGCGCCTGATTTCGGAGCAAATTTGCTCTTGTTGGGTCCGGCACCACGACGCATTGTGATCCTCCTCACGGTGTCTTGGAGCTAGCGTTTACGGAGCGGAATGGTGAGGGTTGGTGATCGCTACAATCGCGAGATGGCCGAGATGAGATCCGGAAAATGAAGGGTACGAAAATTTGTTGTTTTCACTTTCTTCTCTCTTTCCAGCGTTCCACGCATTCCTCCTCGTGCGAGAAGAAATACAAATAAAAATAACAAAATGGAGGAAAAAATAACAAAATGGAGAACCTGCTGGCTGCTTACGATGAGGGCGAGGATGATGAAGTGGGCGAGGAAGAACAAGTGACTGAGGCTTCCATAAACCTGAAGCGAAGCCGAGCTGATGCGCTGGAGGGAAAACACGTAGACACATCTCCAGACAAGCGGGCTACGCTCGCCGCGGCAACAAAGACCAAGAAAGCTCGCGTGTCAGAGGGTGCAAAGCCGGTGGTGCTCCTGCCGCCCCCACCTGCCGACCTGTTTGGCGGCGGCAGCTCCCCCAACGAAGCAAAGGACAGCCCCGCGGCACACCTGGGCCGCGTGCGAAGCTTTCCGCACATTGAAGGCAACTACCCCACCTTCGTCTACATACCCGGTACGCTCGCGCGCGCGCTTTTGTGCAGTTCGTGCTCGCCCATGCACAGTCCACCCACTCACATCGCGTGCCGGCCCGCAGTGTACATCACAGCCGTGGATGGCCTGATGCCGTGTGCCGATCGGCTGCTCCAACAGTTCCGCGACTGGTACCTCGTGTGTGGTGTCAGTGCCCGGCTTGGTCGGCACATGCTCATATGCGCAGGCTGCCCGGCCGACAGGTCTACTCCATCAGCGAGCTGCGGGATGAAAGCAGCGGCGACGTCACGAGCAGCCGCCGGCCGCTGGAGCTGATTTATCACGTCAGCATCTCACGCACCGTGGGCGTGCGCCAGCACCAGATCGACCCCCTCATCGACCTTTTGCGGTCCACCCTCACACCCGAGCGCAGGTTCAGTCACGTCTCACTTCTCTTGTCGCTGTCCCTTTTGGCACTGATGTATGAGGTGCGGTGCGCGCAATGCAGTTTCGAGGCCAGCTTTGGGGCGTACGAGGTGTTCACAAACGATGAGCACACGCGATCGTTCCTCTCGCTGAGCGTCGTCGACGGGAAATCCAAGGCAGCGCTCCTCTCTCCGCTCAATCTTCTTTTCTCTCTTTTGTCTGATCCGCGCTGGCTGTGTGTACGCTCATGCAGGTGTGTTCGCTCATCGCCAAGGTGGACGGGGTTTTCAAGCAGTTCCGACTACCGACCTACTACGAGGTACTCCGCGGCAGAGCCCAGCCCAAGCGCGCGCCACACATAACACTGACGCTCTACATGCGCGCGTGTCACCAAGGATCCGCGGCCACACATGACGATCGGGTGGACCTTGGAGGATGTGCTGTCCACCGACGAAAAGGGACCGCCGGGCCTCCGTCCGGACAGGCGCCACTCCCTCGACCCCGACATGGGCGGCCCGTTCCGCTTTCGGGTTGGCAACGTCCAGTGCACGCCCGGCCGCCTCATCTACGACTTCCCCCTGAAGTAGCCGAAGCAAAGAGAGAGTCAATCGCAACCCGTGCTCGTCGTGGGAAGTCCACCACAAATGGTTGGGTCGGGCAAGCCGAGCTGGTAACGAGACCACAGGAGCGGCCCTGTACAGGCTTATTCCACGAGTGCCATCCTCCCACGATTGCCGCGGTTGCTTGGGTGCCGCTCGACAGGCGCTGTTGAAGGGGAAAGCAGGTCGTCAGAGACAAGATGGGGTCTGGCAACCCTCCACACTGTGGTGACATGTACCGGTACACGCAAAGTTGGAGCAGCTCCCGCTCAAACACTGCGAGTCGACTCCGCAAGCGTCGCCTGTAACACGAATGTGTGAGTTGCGTGAAGGTTCTTGTGCGCGAGGTGGGAGGTACCGGAACCGCCAGGGCTGTCGTTGAGACAGATCCCGGCTTGCTGGTTGCAGACGCCAAACAGACACTGGGTGTTGTTGACGCATTTATCACCGGGCTTGCCTGGAGAATAGCGACGTATGAGGGTAAGGTCACCAAACTGCCAAGTGCCTGGTGACTTTCACCCATGTACAAGGGTGGTTACGTGCCTTCTATACGGGTCCAGTTGCACGCGTTACAACTCAAGGGGCAGAGCTGCTGGACAGTCACATTGTTGGCGCACGACCCCTCCTTTTTCCAAACGGGGCAGTCGATCTGACGGTACTCCCGAGCATCGTTGCAGTTGAGCCGGTTCAGCACGCGGGCCTGGTCGAGGCGGGAGCCACGGGTAAGTCGAGCGGAGTCCACGAGAAGGGCGGGGGTTTGGGTACGAACCCAATCGAGGGAGTTGACTTCGCTCTGGTAGTCCGTCATCAAGATGTTGATGCGGTAGTTGATCATCTCCTTCATGAACGACTCGAAGTTGTTGCCGTTGGCCAGGCGGGAGAGCTGGTGCAGATCTCGCAGCTTGTCCCACGGGTTGAGAATGGCATTCACAATCCTTCCGCGCCCGTTCCTCCGTTAGACGCTCGCACGCAGGAGGAAAAAAACAGTGTGGTGCGGGGACTTATACATTTTCGCGGACGTTGTGAGAACCCACTGCAGCTTGTAGACCGCGTCGGGATTGCCTGGCGTAACGACCAGTGTTCCGATGAGTACAGAGGAAGCGGGGAGTCTCGCTGCGGAAGGGAACGCCACCTGTTTGAGACTGCACAGACTTGGTCTCGTGGTCGAGCATGGCGGGGAAGTTATCGACGTTGGCCCAATCGGACACCAGGTACCTGCGCACACTCGGAGTAAGTTGACTGCGACGCCCGCCCCACGAGGAAAGCTCCGGAGCGGTGCTCTAGTACTCCTGAGAGGGCCACAGCTCGTCGTAGCGGTTGGCCGTCGGCATGTCGTCGTAGAGGACGAGTACCCGCTTGCCGGATCGTAGCATATCGCCGTAGGTAAACGTCAAGCCGGCGTACGCGTACTTGTCGGCTATCACGCCCACCCTGCTCCTGCCCCGGTCTTCGATGCCCGCGGCACCTTGGACGAAGGGGAGCCGGTCTCCCTCGCCTTGCTCGACTCTCTCGCCCGACGATGCTCCACGCTGGAATGCGGTGTCGTGGCGGCGCGACTCGAGGGGCTTGACGGGACGGCCGACCTTGGGCAGGATGTGGGCGGCTTGCGCCAGCCTGGGGGCGAGCGACTTGGGGAACATGCCGAAGGGTCCCAGGTACTTGTGCATTAGCATCACCAAATTGTCGTGCTGCGTGTCATTGAACCTGATGTAAACATGGGTGGGGTCCAAATCGTGAGTGAAGGTGAAACTTGGAACGCGGTAACAGTTGGACGGCTGGTACCCGGCGAACGAGCCCCATTGCAGGATGACGATCTCCTCCGGGAAGTCGGTGAGGAATTGGGTTATATTGCCCAGCATCTCTGTGCGCGTGTGCGCGTGAGTAACATCCCGCGGGTCGGTGGTTCCCAAAAGATGTGAAGGGCTTACCTTCGGTCGGGCTGCCGAGGATAAAGTGCAGCGTATGGTACATGGCGGTGTCCTTGCTCCAGCACACTCGAATATCGAGGAAGCGGGCGCCCCTGCGTTGTGTCCCTTGCACTGTGAGTCCCTGCATCAGTTCTAGGAGGAAGGGGTCACAGTACTTGTAAAGTTGTGTGTACACATCGCTGTTCTGCGTGTCGGCCCAGCCCTTGATCACCTGGTATGGCTTCTGCGGTGGTGTAGCGGCGAGACATCAGTTAAACGCAGCTTGCAGCGCAACGAGGAAGTTGGGGGTACCTCGACGCCCATCTTGCGCAGCGTGACAAGCAGGTCCTGCACCCATACGTTCACCTGCATGCAA